GACATCGCTCGTGGAGGCACGCAACTAATCCCGCCAGCCGGGTCAACGCCAAACCAACCGCCCGATGGTGGAGCGCGGGGTGAGAATAGGCCTGGAGCAAGGGTCCGGGGTCGGAGCGCAGGAATGAGGCGTTGAGAAGAGGTAAGAGGATGAGGGAGCTGGGTTTCCTAACGCGGAGGGCCACAAACCTAGATTCATTCCATAACAAGCCAACCCCGAGCGCCACTGCAAACGAGCAGCGGCCCTTTTGCGTGATCTAATGACCTCCGCCCCGTCGAACTTGCCCCACCCAAAACGGCAGACCGTAAAAGGCCCCAGAGCCGAGTAAGTCGCCAAACCGACAGATAATAAGCCAAATATGAATTAGTAGTAGCCTAGGGGAACGCGGAATAATCCAATCCAAACCCGAAAAACCAAAGCAAAATAGGACAAGTGAATTCCACTTTATTAACTTAAGAACGATTTAACATTAAGATAGTCGGGAACTGAGTCGCTAAGGTGTTTTAAGCTTCCTCACCCTCTTCTTCCTCGAACTCACCCTCCTCCTCGGCAGTGGCATCTTGATATTGTTGATACTCACTGACGAGATCGTTCATGTTCGACTCAGCTTCAGTGAATTCCATTTCGTCCATACCCTCACCGGTGTACCAATGTAGGAAAGCCTTGCGGCGGAACATGGCCGTAAACTGCTCCGAGACACGTTTAAATAATTCTTGTATAGCAGTGCTATTACCAATAAATGTTACGGACATCTTCAGACCACGTGGTGGAATGTCACAGACGGCGGTCTTGACATTGTTTGGAATCCACTCAACGAAGTAGCTTGAGTTCTTATTTTGTACGTTGAGCATCTGCTCATCGACTTCTTTCATCGACATGCGCCCCCGGAAGATGGCGGCAACGGTGAGGTAGCGCCCGTGCCTGGGATCGCAGGCAGCCATCATGTTCTTGGCGTCGAACATTTGCTGAGTGAGTTCCGGGACGGTCAAAGCACGATACTGCTGGCTTCCACGGCTAGTCAGAGGCGCAAAGCCCGGCATGAAGAAGTGGAGCCGGGGGAATGGAACCATGTTGACCGCCAATTTCCTGAGATCGGCGTTAAGCTGCCCAGGGAATCGCAG